TGTGGTATCTTGGGGGAGCTCACTAAGCTTCATGCTTACCGTTTCTGTTTTGGTTTCAGGTACTTCCGCAAGCAAAGGGAAGAGCTCGGGGTGATAGCATCGCACACACCACAGCTTTAGCTTTTATCCTGGGAATTGATTTAGTTTGTTTTGATTTGACATAGTATGATACAGTTTTCCGCACAGTGTTTTTATTATGTTTGGGATACATCACGTATGGTTTTATGATATGACACTCAGATTATGGTTTTGGTTATATTGAAAAAAACGAAATTTTTGGGTCGTATTTTTGGGTCGTTTCATTGAGGGCCTGGGAAATTCCAACCCAATGGTTGATTGGGCCCATAGTATGTTGTTATTGTATGTTTGTTGTTATTGTATTGGTATTTTGGGGGATCTCACTAAGCATTGGGCTTATAGTTGCGGATGTTGTTTCAAGTACTTTAGATGACTGCGGGAAGGCAAAGGCTTGATCGTGCACCTCCACGTATTTTATATCAAAGATCTTTGGGATTAATCTAATGATAACCTATTTTGAAAACAATTTGTAATAAATGGTGGTTTTTGGATGTTTGAAAAACTTTAAATTTTTTATAAATTTTATGGATGTTACACATAGATCTATATCGGTTGACGCCCCCACCTATGGCTGCTAGCTACAACCTTGACATTGTCTCCTCGCCATTATCTATAGGCACATACCAAAAATGACTCTCACAAGAATTGACATTTTCAGTCTTCACAATAGAAGTTAAGTCAATGGTGTCAGTTTTGTTGAGTCATTTTGTAACAAAAACTTGATTTGGAGTGCTTTGGATCTTTGGAGACACAACAATTTTTTCTTCCAAATTCTTAATTCCATTTATTTGAACCACTTTTTCAAGTTTAGAATAATTTTAAAAAATCAAGTTACTTTTTGGTTTATTATCATTTATCACAAAATTGGAACAATCAATCTCATTTTTACTGAAATCTCAATAACCACACTTTCATCAGAATCAAAATCAATCTTACCCTTACAATCCTCCTTATAATTCAATCTATTACACATCAAGATATTTTTTCATTTGAGTTCTTTTTCATTTATTGTTTAGTTTCTTTAGTTAGTACATCATTCATCAATTTCTTTATTTCTTTTGTTTTAAAAAATTCTTCAACATTTTCTAAACAAACCTTATAATCATCATTTAAGGATTCGTTAGATGACACCAAAGATTCACATTCATAACATTCTACATCTATTTCTTCTTCTTGAAATTCTAAGAATGTTATCTTTTTCTTGTGCATTTCATCAAATATTTCGTAGTTTAGATAAAGTTGGGTGATATGTCTGTATAAGCTTTTCATAAATTTGGCCAAAGATGATTCGTTGTTTCATATGCATCCTATTGTCATAATTCAAAATATATGAACTCTTGATTTTTTCAGATCCTTAATCCTATCCTTAATCTTTTGCATGAACTTTTGACTTTTTCAGATCCTTAATATTTTAAATAAACTTTTGACTTTTTCAAATCCTTAATATGATCCTCTTCCAATACCAAAGCTTTTCCATGAACTTTTGACTTTTTCAAATCCTTAATCTTTAACATATAGTAGGCTTCATCTTTCTCTTTCTCATTCTTCTCATTTTGCTTTGACAGCATATACTCTTTTGCAAAATGGTTCTTCCCATTGCAATAATTATAGTTATATCCAGAATCACCAAACAATTTATTTTCCTTTTCCCTTTTTCTTGTTGATAATTTTTTACTCATTTGCCTTCGTTCTTTTCAACATATGAATTTCCTCCTTTGCAGCCATTTCCTCCTCCATCAATCCTCGCATTACCACTACCTCTGAACTTTGAAAAATTCTTCTTAAAGAACTTCTTTGGATTACTGGCAATGAGAGCCTTTTTCCTCATTGGTAAATTTATCATCTGTCGCATCTGAGTCATAATCATCACAAACTACCTTTTCACTGGACTTTCTTTCTTTCTCAACTTCTCCTTTCGCAACTAGAGCTAAAATAAACTTACCTTTTGCATTTTCCATGACTTCATCTTCATGAGATCTTAAAATACATAAAAGTTGTCTTGATGAGTAATTCTTGAATTGTTCAGGTGCCTTCACAGTTAATGGTTACATCTTTCATTCCGAACGTAAATTGTTCATAAAAGCCACATTTTCTTCAATCGTTTCTCTCTACAATTTTTACTTCAACATTCTGCTAAGTAAGTGATTAAATCTACTTGCAACTTGATCAATTATCTCTCCATGCCTTCTATCAAAGAGATCCAGACTTCAAAAGTAATGTTTGCATAGAATGAGTTTGATGGACATCATCGGAGTAAATTTCCTTCAGTGTCTCCCAAATTTCATGAGCTAAGAGCTTAATACTTTGAATGTATCCGGTGGAAGTGCAAATTTAGAATTCAAATCGAAACAAGTAATGTAACAATGAATTTCGGATCAAATTGCAATCAGATTGCAAAATGCATAATAGATCTAGAAAAAAATGTAACAAACAAAGAACCCAAAGAACACGAACAAAATTTAATGATTGGAAAAATGTTCAGAGAAATCCTTTCTCTCATACCATTTGTAGGATCAGATACTAGAAGACAGAATTCTTGTTTGAATACGAAAAATTAAATGAACACATACAAGTAAATAGGGAAAATGCCTTAGAAGGGTAACTACCTTTTATCCGTGTTCACATATTGGCAACTTCTTCTTTTTTGTACATAATAAAGCAACTAACTTGTTTTAACTGTTTAAATTACACCAATATTACCGGCTAATACATGTTTTAACCGGTAACTCAAAGGGAAAATGACTTAGGAGGGTAACTACCTCTTATCTGTATTCACATGTTGGCAACTTCTTATTTTTTGTACATAAGAAAGCAACTAACTTGTTTTAACTGTGTAACATCCCAAAAATCATGACAAAAAATTTCGCTTTTAATTTAATATTAAAACCATAATTGTCAAACCATTAATTTAATACTCCGACATCGGGTCCTGCCTTGCATCGAGTCTCGCTCGGTATACGGGTATGTCTCTCTTAGGCCCCACCTGTCTCTGGGCCCCGCTCGCTAAACACATACAATCATATAACCTGCTAACACATAAAGAAACATACTCTATTATATCCCTGTCCTAAGAAACATACTCTGCTAATAATGAGATACGGAACATCATCCGTACTCAGCTAGTGATGAGATATGGGACCTCGCCCACACTCATCTCCTTACCAGGCACATACAAGTATCACATAGACGACAAGTATAATCTAACATGCAAACATTCCTCGGGCACCCGCCCGACATCAGACCTTGGTCTGGAATAACATACTAGCATACAATGCCTAGGGCTAACCCCCGGGTCTTCCGACTCATAGACTACATGGGCTGACATTGTGGCCTTAGACCCATTCACACAGTGAGGAGACTCACCTTGCACTGCTGAAGCCCTGGCTGGAACTAGTTGAGTACGGATGAAGTTCTATATCTCATTATTAACAGAGTATGTTTCTTAGGACAGGGATATGGTAGAGTATGTTTCTTTATGTGTTAGCATGTTATATGATTGCATGTGTTTAGCAGGTAGGGCCTAAGAGAGACAGATCTGTATACCGAGCGGGGCTCGATGCCAGACGGGGCCTGATGCTGGGTGGGGCCCGATGCCGGAGTATTAAATTAATGGTTTGACAATTATGGTTTTAGTATTAAATTAAAAACGAAATTTTTGTTCATGATTTTTGGGATGTTACACAGTTAAAACAAGTTAGTTGCTTTCTTATGTACAAAAAATAAGAAGATGTCAATATGTGAACACGAATAAGAGGTAGTTACTCTCCTAAGTCATTTTCCCTTTGAGTTACCGGTTAAAACAGGTATTAACCGGTAATATTGGTGTAATTTAAACAGTTAAAACAAGTTAGTTGCTTTATTATGTACAAAAAAGAAGAAGTTGTCAATATGTGAACACGGATAAAAGATAGTTACCCTCATAAGTTATTTTCCCAAGTAAATATGATACGATTTTCAATAAGAAAGTAAGAAGCTCAATTACAAATGACGTAAGAACCTCTAAAAAATATTCTCTCTGTCTAACTAACATCCCTTATATATGATACATAAAGGGGTCAGTTGAAAAATGAACAATAAGGTCACGACACCTAAGCTAAGACGGGTTGTCAACACAACTAAGTAAACAACACTATGAAGCCTAGTAAGAAACTATGAAACAAAACTTGGTTTCGTATTTACAAGTTGAAGGCTACAAATTACAAAATTATGAAACTTTTTGCATACAGACTCAAACACAACACCTATAAAATACAAGACCTAACACCCCTTTAACAAAACTCATGTGCATTGTACATTTTATTCTTTAGATATATCTTTTGTGAATTAAGATGCATTTCGCTTTCTATCATGAGTTGTGTTCATGTTAGTTTGTCGTATTTGTTGTGATTATACCATCTTTTTTTGTTTGTATTTCATAAGCACCAATTAATACAGACATCCAAAACGCAATGCAAATTAGCTTCGCCGGACTTGTGCATCATTTTATAGTAAAATTTTGACAAGTTCCAAATTTTCAACAATTTTTCTATGTTTTAATTGGTTTTCCTTCATGAATATAACAAAAACTTGATAACCTAATATTAAACACACCCCATAACAATCCACTAACTATAACCTAAATATCAAGGATCAATCTCACAAACTTATACAAAACATGAATCCTACATAGAAATGCAATTATCCAGTTGTGATTAAAAGAAACTGACATCTAACAATTAAAAAAAAAAAAAAAAAACATTTTTCAGATACTTACATTTGAATAAGCACCATAAATATCGTGTATGTAATGTCATTTAAATGTTTAACCGATACAAAATTGTTTCTCGATTTATGAGCTTAATATAATTATGAATTTATAAACTTAAAAAACGAAATAAACACCAAGAACTAAAATTTAACCAAAAAAAAAAAAAAAAAAAAAAAAAAAAAAAACTTAATATTTGTGTCTTACAAAACATAGGAAGCAACCGTAAACATATACAAATTTTTGTCCCATGTTTGTAAGTATGTGTGTATTCATTCTGATGGAAAGGAGAACATGTTAATCTGTCAAATCCTGGTTGGCCGCGTTGTTGCCGGATCTTGGTCGCCGTAGAAGCTCAATCAACGTCTCCGCCTGTCCATCCAACAAAACAATTAACCAATCAAATCATCCTTCTTAAAACGACAAAAATCAACCATTACCTAAACACACTCTCTTTAGAAACTATATTAAATGCCATCTTTTATATTTTTTTCAACCCCTTCATTAAATATAGGTCCACAAAATGGTCCATTGAAGTTGTAAAAGTGAGGATCAAATTAAGAAATAATACAAACAATAGACTCACTTTTAATTTTTTATTCATGGTTCATTAATAATCTATGTTTGATGTTAATATTTAAAACCAAGATTGGGTTAAGAGAATATTCGTGAATCATTTTATGTAAAAGATCAGATTATTGAAAAATAAATGAGTTTGTAATTGTATGAATACTTTTGCACTAAAGTAATCAAATAGTAAAGTCTTAAAATAATAATAATAAAAATAGGAAAAAAGTGAAGAAAAAGTGAATTAATTTTACCTTTTGTTTAGCCCGATTGGTACCAGATTGCGACAGGGCGATGAGGGGAGGAATGGCTCCTTCGCGGGCCACCATAGTCCGGTACACCAGACTCTGATCACATATCTGTAACAATATCACCACCGCTATCTCCTTCTGCCTCTGTGATCCGACCTCTATGATTTCCACCAACACCGGGATTCCTCCTTCCTCCACCAGCGCCGCCCTTGCCTCTGCCGTGGATACCAAAATACTCATCACAAATGCCGATTTGTCCACCATGTTTGATCCGAAATCGGCCATGAGTTCAACCAACGGCTTCATGATCCCCGCCTCTACAGCTCGAATCTTATTCTCCTTCACCGAACACAATGAATACAACGCCGTCGACGCGTCTTTTTTCCCGCGGATGTTTCCACTTTCGAGAAGGTTTACAAGTAAAGGAATCGCTCCTGACCGTCCGATCGCAGATTTGTTTTCGTCTAATTGAGATAAACGAAGTAAAGCACACGCTGCGTTTTCTTTCGCCGTTGATGTTCCGCTCTTCAACGCTCTAACCAGCGGTTTGATTGCTCCGGAAGAAGCCAATTGCTCTTTGTTTTCATCGCAGAGAGACAAGTTCAAAATCGCCGTCACCCCATACTCTTGAAGCTGCGGATCCGACGATGAGATTAGCGCAATCAACGGCCTGATTGCTCCAGCTCTAGCGATCATCAATCTGTTCTCCGGTTTGTTCTTTGCTAAGAGCCGTAACTCCATCGCTGCTTGTTTCTGATCGTCAACCGAACCAGATTCGAGACCAGACACAAGCTGCCGGATTAGATCTTCTGAGTTCTCGGTGGCGCATGACAAAAGGAGACGACGGCTCTCGGAAGAGGTCGTCGGGAATTCACCTGATCGGTCGCTGTTGCAATCACTAAAAGCGGTGGAATCATCATTTGTGTTGCTAAAATTTCTTCCCATGTATGAGTAATTGGTCTGAATTTGCGTCTCCATCATCAGAACACTTGCCGGATTTGGAAAAAAAAAACTCGTATTGGGTAGACCGGTGAATGATTGAATTTAGGTAATAGTTTAGGGTAAAGGACACCCTGTACGGATTCAGAAGACAGAGTGGTATGGAGGGGTGATGATATAGAATAGAAGAGGGGAGAAGAAATGGAGGGCCCGAGGTGACACGTGCGCAACCGTATCTATTCCCAGTAGAGCATACACGTGGGAAGGTGTGGGTCTCCTTCCCTCTACACGCGTGCATAGAAGCTTCATTAATATTTAGACAGGTAAATGACTTCTGGCTTATTTCGACTTTTCGATTCACTTGAGAGTTGAGCCTACATAATTTGTAACATTCTGCCATCAATTCACCCATTAATGAACTTCCTGAAAGCTTGATCGAAGTAATTGACTACCATTTCAATGATTAGAAAATAGCTACCATTAATTTAAAGACTTGGTTAACAAATCAGTTTACTCATAACACCTTAAACTAATTGCTAGTTCTTTTAGGTATGTGATGGTGGAGACTAAAAGTTCAAAGTCAAAGCTTTGGTCAAATTGTATAACAGTTTAGCATAATAATATCGACTCAGCTAGGCATTTGGCTTGGTACTGCTGATTTGAACTTGGAAATGAGACACACTTTGGAAGGACAAATACAGTTTTGATATATTTTCCATGAATGATCTTTTTCTTATTTCACATATATATGGGGTACATACAAAGGCCTAACCAAAACAATAAAGTCTTCCGATATAAATATTGGCTAAATAGAATTCATACTAATAAATAAAAATCTTTTTACCACATGTTATATTATCATGCATTTTGATACATATAATTTAGAAATTAATTTTCACTTGTTATTTTATGGTTATTTTTTATTTTTTTAATTAATTATTATCATTTTTAGGTTACAGATGGTTATTTTTTGTTTATTTAATTAATTATTATAATTTTTAGGTTATAGAAAGTAATTAATGTACGATTAATTTGTTTCCTTGTATTTTCAAATTTTAGTATGTTTCATTCAATATATATATTTCAAAATTGGCATGTTTCTTTCATAGTTCATTATCATTTTAGGCAAAATGGTTTATATAGGAAAAATAATTAAACTTTGTTGTTTTTTATTAACAAAAAAAAAGGTTATATGGCTTCTGTAGTTTGTTTTATTTGTATAAAGTGAATTATTTATTTATTCATCATTTTGTTTGTATATATTTTAAAATTTTATTTTAAAAAATATTTAATGTTTACATTTTGATATTTAATGTTTTCATTTAAAAAATAATTCATGTTTATATATTTATATGTAATTTTTTTTAATCAACCCATATAGTACACGAGTTTCACACTTAGTACAAATTATAAAACACTACCATCACATTGTAGTTAAACATGAAGATTTTTTATAACGCTTGAACTGCATTTGAAGTCGATGAACAATGTAGATAGAATGTCTTTCTAAATATGTTAGCATACCAACGGAAAGTGAAGAATGTCAACACGACCAGTCTAAACCATGTCGCAAACAAAGTGAATGTTTATCTCGATGTGTTTGGTTCATTGATGCTAAACCGAGACAATATGACTGAAGCAGTGCAATAATGAATTTCACAAAAAAGATTTTGAATCCAAGAAGTTTCAACCACGACATTGGCAACTCCTCTGTATTCGGCTTCGACACTAGACCAAAAAAAGCTTTTTTGTCGTGGACTAGAAGAGGAGGTTTCAGCCAATAAACACATAGTAATATGACGTGGAACGCCTACTGATTGGAGAACTTTCCCAGTTAGCATCGTAAGCAATGAGCCTTTGTGTAGGTGATGCATATTGCTGAAGGTCGTGAGATGTGGTGCCTTGGATATAACGAAATATTCTTTTTAGAGAAATAAAGTGAGACTCTCTGGGATCACACATGAATAAGCAAATATGTTGGGCATCATATGTGATATATGTTGGTTTTATATGCTCAAGAATGATCATAAAATGATATTGACAATAACATATGATTCTTTAAAATCATACCGATAACAAGTCACTTAAATTGATATTTTAGAATATGATTTTGATTTTTATTAAAATATTACATCTCTTGAGTTTGTTATTAAAAAATAATAACAACATAAATAGTTCATATTGTATAAATTAATTTATATCATTTAAATGTTAAAAGATTCATTTTGTGTAAGGTTTATTTCAAGACTATCAAGATTAGGACCCTACGTAGGATCATTTTTGAATTTGCAAGATCGGGATTGAATCCTAAGCTCCCACAAAATAACACATAATTTTACCTTATAATTTAAAAAAATAAAACATATCTCAAACATTCAGTTTTCACTTTAAAAACTAAAATATTAGTCACAACTCATATCACAAAATTATAAACAACAAACTAGTAAAATGTAAAATACTTAAAATAGTAAATTCATTTTTTTTTCATTTTCAAAAAAAAAAAATCAAGGGAAGATGGGATCAGAACAGATCTTGGTCCAATGTTCGTACCTATGATCATACCCTAAATACGATTCATATATGATCTGACTTGCTTTTCATGTCTAGGATCGTACGATCCTATGATTAAGATCGTGATTTTGGCATCCCTGGTTTATTTATCTAATTAAAGAGATGAGTTATGTAAGGACTCAAATTTTCCAAATAAATTTTTCATTTTTAATTAGCCAAACATTTCCTTAAAATATAAAGTAACATTAACCACGGTTTTCAAAATTCATAACATTAACATTTTATTTAAAACATCAGAGTGTCCCATCAAACAAATGTCGGAGAGAAAGTGCATGTCGCGACATCAAGCCTTGCCTTGCCCTTGGGCTCAGATGTACCTGAAACAAATCCACAAATTTTACGCTAATGCCTAGTGAGTTCCCCAGAGCATACACCGAACATAATCCACATAAACACATATCATATTAGCTATAACAGCTACACATACCAAATAAGCCATGCATACAAACATATAAGGAAGCCATGGAAACCCTCTAGGGTTTTACAACTAGTGCCACTGGAACCTCCTTGTGGTCCTAACTAACTGCCATGGGAACCCCCACATGGTCTTCCTGCCATGGGAACCCCCACATGGTCTTCCTGCCGTGGGAACCCCCACACAGTCTTTACAATCAAGAGATAACATACAAACTACACAAGCAAATATACTAGAATGGCATGGAAACCCTCCAAGCTCTTACATATATGTACGTCGGGACCCCCCCCCCCCCCCCCCGAGGTCTTTCATATGAGGATTACAAATAACTAGCATATCACATATCCCATAACCAACTAATCATAACTCATAACAATAATGGGCCGGTCTTGGTGCCTTAGACCCATTGGTATGGTGAGGAGACTCGCCTCTCATGAATGCTGAACTGACAACTAAGATCAGATAAATCCAACGTGTTGCTCCAACTTAACTGCCTATAATCATCATGTGATTAACTTGTCACAATCTTGAATTACCATTAATATCCTTAAAGTCAACCTTTGTCAAAGTCAAGGTCAACAGTCCATGTTGATCTCAACTCGTCGAGTTACCCAAGTAACTCTTCAACTCGTTGAGTTATCTGTGTAACTCGTCGAGTTCCTTAATGTCCAGAAGACCGAAAATCCCAATCCTTCACAGAAATCACTCGAAATCTCGAAAATAGGTAAACCCTACTCGACTCGTTGAGTTGGCTAAGGGACTCGACGAGTTCCTTCAGTCCTTTTGGTGTTCATACGTTTTTAAGCTACTCCAAAGCTCCAGATTGCAGATCTAGCCTCCTAAGGCATGGTTTCCATGTAAATTTGCAAACTTTACATGCATGCAAGCTCTTAGTTGCCAACACCAAGCTAAGGGAGGGGTTTTAGCCACAGAGAAGGACCAAGCTTGATAAATTCAGTAACTTTATAACTCTAAGGACTTAGAGGAGTCCAGATCTGAAGTTGCAACTCCATATCTTACTCAACGCCCCAAATGCTTCACAAATGTACTAGAAATTACCTAAAACCTAAGAAGAAGAAGATCTAATGCTAGATTGATCAAGGTAACAACTTGTTACCTTCAAATAGGTGTCCAAACGTTGTAGATGATGGATCTACAGTCTCATTCCCGCTCCAAGCTCCTCAATCTTTAAACTCCTTCAACTAAGGCACCAAAAACTCTCTCTTGGCCTCTCAATCACAAGGAAACAGCAAGGAACGGCTTAGGGTTTCTCCTATGAGTAGTGAAGTGATAACGCACGCCACAAGAGGCGGATCAAATCCATTAAATAGGGTGCAAACCCTAAAAATTAGGGTTTTCCTTTACAGTGCCCACTCATCGAGTCAGGGCCTTCCGAGTCGTTGAGTAGGATCTAAATCTCGCGTCCTCATAAATGACTCGACTCGACGAGTTGGAGCTTCCTAACTCATTGAGTCCAAGCACAAAACCCTAAAAAATTTAGATAAATGAAATGATACCTGGGATAGGTGTTACAAACCCCCCTCCTCCCCCCCCCCCCCACTTGAAATAGACTTCATCCTTGAAGTCTGTTGATGCAAACAAGTCCGGATAGTGATCCCGCATCTCATCCTCCGGTTCCTATTTCCATTCGGAGCCACTTCGGTGCTGCCATTGCACATTTAGTAGCTTCACTTCCTTTTTCCGAAGAACCTTGGTCTTCGTATCCAAAATTGCAACAAGCCTCTCAATATAGTTTAGGCTCTCGTCCACCTGAATGTCATCTAGTGAAACGACCGCGGCCTCATTGGTGAGACACTTCTGAAGCTATGACACATGGAAGGTGTTGTGTATCTAGCTAAGCTCGTCAGGAAGATCCAAGTGGTAAGCCACGTTGCCCATCCAGGCCGAAATCCTGAATGGTCCAATATATCGTGACCCCAACTTGCCTCTCTTACGAAACCTGATGACCCCCTTCCATGGCGACACCTTTAGTAACACAAAGTCCCCTACTTGGAACTCAAGATCCGATCGATGCTGGTCAGTATAGCTTTTCTGATGGCTTTGTGTGACTCCTATCCTGTCACGCACCTACTGAATCAACTCAGTAGTCTTGAGAACCACTTTAGTACTCCCCATGACCCGGTGCCCTACCTCACCCTAACAAACCGGGTTCCTACATCTCCTACCATACAACATCTCAAACGGAGGTCGATCGATACTGGCATGATAGCTATTGTTGTATGAAAAATCTGCCAATGGGAGGTATGTATCCCAACTACCTCTAAAATCCAACACGCATGCCCGAAGCATATTCTCGAGCGGCTGGATCGTCCTCTCGATTTGGCCATCTGTCTGGGGGTGGTATGACGTGCTGAAATGTAACTAAGTACCCAGTTCCTCATGGAACTTCTTCTAGAATCTAGATGTAAATCGAACATCTCTGTCAGAGACTACTGACACTGGCACCCCGTGTCTAGCCACCACCTCTCGCACATAAATATCCGCAAATTTCTCAACTGAGATGCTCTCGGAGATGCGTACTCTTCATCAACCAGTCCACAATCACCCATATGGCATCCACACCTCTCGTTGTCCTTTGTAACCTCGTGATGAAGTCCATGGTGATCTCCTCCCACTTCCACATAGGAACGGATAATGGCTGAACCTTACCATACGGCTGCTGGTGTTCGGCCTTGAACTTCCGGCAGGTCAAGCACCTCTCCACAAACCAGGCGATCTCCCGATTCATGCAGGGCCACTAGTAACTCAGTCTCAAGTCCACATACATTTTTGTAGCTACATGATGTATAGAGAACTTGAAATTGTGTGCCTACTCCAATATCTTCTGTCTCACTCCCCCGGTGACCAGTACCCAGACTCGGCCACACTATGTCAAGGGCCCCAGACCATCCCAGACAAACAAGGGAAATTGCCCCCGAATGCGCTCTATCTTCTATATTTCTTTCTTCAAACGCC